AGAGGAAAAGGAAGAGAAAGGGGAGGAGGAAGAGAAGAAGGAAAAGGAGGGAGAGGAAAAGAGGAGGAAGAAAAACAAAGTGAAGGAAAAGGAAGAAGAGAGAAGGAAGAGGAGGAAGAGAGAAGGAAAAGGAAGAGGAGGAGGAAGGGGAAGAGAGAAGGAAAAGGAAGAGGAGGAGGAAGGGGAGGAGAGGAAGAGAAAGAGGAGGAGGAAGAGAAGGAAAAGGAGGGAGAGGAAAAGAGGAAGAAAAACAAAGAGAAGGAAAAGGAAGGAGGAAGAGAGAAGGAAGAGGAGGAAGAGAGAAGGAAAAGGAAGAGGAGGAGGAAGGGGAGGAGAGAAGGAAGAAGAGGAGAGGAGGAAGAGGGGAGGAGGAGGAGGAGGTCTGTGGGGTGGGGAATTCTGGGAGTTGAAGTCCCCTTATCCCTCTGGAGGCCACCCATGGATCTCTCAGCCCTCCTTACCTCATCCACATCATCCCCGAAGCCGACCGGCTTAGATATGGCATCCGAGATCTGTTGGGCGATGTCCTGCTGTTCGGTGATTTCGGCCATTAAGTCGTCCACTTTGTCGATGTCCCTGGAGGGGGTAGGAAGAGAAGGAGAAAGCTCTGGGGGCTCCTTGGGGGGGGTCTCTGAGACTGGCGGGGTTTTCTTGGGAGACCTTTCATGAGCCAACTAAAGCACGTCATCAGTGCTAGAAGGGAGTGGGGCTTGCGAAGAGGAGGAGAGGGGAGGAAGAGATGGTAGAGGAGAAGGGGAGGAGGAAGAGGAGGAAAAGGAAGAGAAGGACTGTGGGATCCTTGGTGGTCTCTGAGCTTGGTGGTTTTCTTGCAGACGTTTTGTGCCCTGGCTATGTAACGTCATCAGTGCTAGAAGGCAGTGGTGTTTGAAGAGAAGAGGAAGGGCAGGAGGAGGAAGAGCAGGTCGGGAGGAAAAGGGAGAAGAAGCGGAGGAGGAAGAGGATGACGACTGTGGAGTGCTTAGGGGTCTCCAAGCTTGGGGGTTTTCTTGCAGACATTTCAAGGCCTGGCTAGGTAACATCATCAATGGCACAAGGGAGGAGGAGGACTGTGGGGTCCTTGGTGCTCTCTGAGCTTAATTATTTTCTTGCAGACATTTCATTACCCAACTAGGTAACATCATCAGTGGTAGAAGGGAGTAGGGTTTGTGAAGCGGAGGGAGAAGAGGAGGAGGAGAGAAGGAAAAGGAAGAGGAGAAGAAGAGAAGAGGAAGAGGAGGAGGAGGAGGAGGAGGAGTCTGGTGTGGGGAATTCTGGGAGTTGAAATTTGCCCTTGTCTTGAAATGGCCAAGGTTGAAAAAAAAAACCAAAAAAAAACCCCACACTGCTCTAAGCTAAAAGCAAAACATGGACCAGATTTTTGAGTCCAGAGAATCGGGCTGCTTCTTCTATCGATCGCTTGGGGGAAAAAGCGCTACTACTCACATATGCTGGTGAGCCTCTTTCATGGCCCGAGCCGCGTCCGACATGGTCTTGAGCACTTCGGTGTTGGTGGTGGCATTTTCGAGGGCCTCGCGTTGGAATTCGATGGTGGATAGGGTCCCGTCGATTTGGGCCAGCTGTTGCTCGTAGCGTTTCTTCCTCTTGAGAGCTTGCAAAGCAGCTGCCGCGAACGAAGGCAACAAATGCATGCAGCCACCCCATGTTTCTAGTCCTCATGGAGGTCAGAAGCATGTGGATGTTTATTAAGACCCCCCCACCCCCCAAATATAAGACAGGACATTTGTGTTACTCGTGCAAGGAGGGATGCAAACAGCCATACTGCAAATCCCCCCTCTATGCAGACTTGGTTTGCTCTCTCTCTCTCTCTGTTTCTCTCTCTCTCTTTCTCCTCTTTCACTCTCCCCTCTCTTCTCTCTCTCTCTCTCACAGGCGTGTTACTCACTTAACAAGTGACTCACTTAACCACTGGGGCAAGAAAGGTCGTAAAATGGAGCAAAATTCACTTAACGCCTCACTTAGCAGCAGAAATTTTGGGCTGTAACTTGTGGTCATAAGGCCTCCTTGTAGTCTTTCTCTGGGATTTTACCATTTAACCTCACTTTAAAATGTGTGGACTTCAACTCCAAGAATTCCCTAGTCAGATAACAGATAATCAGACTTGGAAGGGACCTTGTAGGTCATCTAGTCCAACCCCCCCGCCCAAGCGGGAGACCCTACACCCTTTCTGACAGATGGCAGTCCAATCTCTTCTTGAAAGTCTCAAGTGATGGTGCTCCCACAACTTCCGAGGGCAACTTCTGTTCTATGGGTTGATTGTTCTCACTGTCAGAAAATTTCTCTTTATTTCCAGGTTGAATCTCTCCTGGTTCAGTTTCCTTGTCTGGCCTACAGATGCTTTAGAGCAGTGGTCGCCAACCTGTGGGCTGGGGACCACCAGTGGTCCGTGAGAAAGTTTTGTTGGTCTGCAGAAAAATGTCACCCCCAAAGCAATTAATCCAGGCTGCGTGGGAACACAAGGCTTGCATCGCTTGCATTGCGAACAACACGAGGTAGTGAGGGGAGGGGGGAAAGGGGGGGACTTGCCCCACTCACCCCACGCGCCTGGCCTGGCCACCGGGCTGCTTCTTTCTGCTTCTTTCTTCTTCTGCTTTTGTCTGCACACAAGGAAAGCAGCAAAAGTCTTTCTTTCTCTCCCCCAAACTCCGCCAGAAACGAGTCTTTGGGACCCTGCAAGGCCTCCTGCTCCAAGAGGCTGCGTCAGTCTGGCGGAGTTTGGGGGAGAGAGAGAAAGACTTCCTGCAGACTTTTGGGGGGATTTTCCCAGGGTCTCTGCTGTGCTGCTTTTTCTGCAGAGACCCTGGGAAAATCCCAAAAAATGTCTGCAGGAAAATCCCCCACCCTGTTTTCCTACCGATTGATCGTTCTTGATTTGGGATCGTGGGATACCGTCTCTCTCTCTCTCTTTTTCCCTGAGTATGGAGCTGAAAAGCAGGTTAGGAATGTGGCTGCCTTGGAGGGTTTGTGTGTCTAGGGGGGGACGTGTGTGTGTGTGTGTGTGTGTGTGAGAGAGAGAGAGAGAGAGAGAGAGAGAACATCACTGCCAACCCATCTCTCTCTCTTTCTCTCTCTCCCACCTACGTCAGCAAGCCACTGCCACTCAAATTTAAAATTATGAGTTTGCTGGTCCTTGAGGCCCAAAAGGTTGGCGACCCCTGCTTTAGAGTTTAGAAAATATCTAAATAGTCGGCATAGCATAGCCTGCTGGGGAATTCTGGGAGCTGAAGTACAGACACCTTAATGGACCTGCGGTTGAGAAACGGCTACACTCTAGGAATTTAAAATGGTTTCCTATGGCCGTTACTTATCAGCCGGACTTTAAGTAAATCCAGACAAGGTCAGCCAGCATGGATAAAGATATTCTAAAACAAAGAGATCTGGGAGTTTAGGATTTAAACTGATATGGGTTTTTTTTAACTTTCTGTCTTTAAATCTAAAAAGAGGTATAAATAATATCAGGGCGGGAGAGAGGGGAGGAGCTGGCGTCGTGACGGTACGGTCTGCAATTGAGCTCCAAGATTGCAGCCGATATCTCAGCCCCTGGTCGGTCCAAACGGACCTAAACCGTCCCGTAGAGACGGTGATAGTGAAGGGCACATCCTGTGGATCCCAAGGACAACGCAAAGTCCCTGGTTGATCCAGGAGAAGCCCTTTTGCCAGCGGCGGAGAGGCAGCCATTAAGCTGCTGAAGTCGGGACAGCTCCGGAATGGAAGAGACTGAAAGATAAAGTGTGTCAGTTGGGTGAGAACTTTTTTTTTACTATTATTCTGAGACTTAAAGGACACCCTAAGAAAAAGGGAAATCTGTAAAAGTTTTGACAGAACTGAG